TTCTGGTCAATTGTATTTTAATTTTTATGGATGCCACTAGTCTTCTGTAGGTATACTATGGTCTCTGGCATCAAGCAGATCCTTTAAGTCCTATAAGTGTGACCTCCATGGATCAGACTTGTTTCTCCAGCACATCCCAGAGATGCTCGATGGACTAAGATCTGGAGAATTTGGAGGACAAATCAACACCTCAAACTTGTTGTGTTCCTCAAACCATTCTTGAACCATTTTTGCAGTGCAGCAGGGTGCCTTATCCAGCTGAAAGAGGCCATTGCCATCACAGAATACCGTTTCCATGAGCGAGTGAACTTGATTAGCAACAATGTTTAGGTAGGTAGTATGTGTCAAAGTAACATACACATGAATGGCAGGACTGAGGTTTCCCAGCAGAACATTGCCCAAAGCATCACACTGCCTCTGCTGGCTTGCCCTCTTCCCATAATGCATCCGGTGCCATCTTTTTTCCAGGTAAGCAACACACATGACCCAGCCATCCATATGACGTAAAAGAAAACATGATTCATCATACCAGACTACTTCTTCCATTGCTACGTGGTCCAGTTCTGATGCTCATGTGCCCATTGTAGACACTTTTGGCTGTGAACACAGGTCAGCATTGGCACCCTGACCAGTCTGCGACTACAAAGCCCCATACATAACAAACTGCAATGTCCATTTTTTATGCTTTCAACTCATCCACTTTAGGGAAAACATGTTTACTTGTGACCTAATATATCCCACCAACTGTCAGGTGCCATAGTAACGAGAATGGTATTCACTTTACCTATAAATAATCCTAATGTTATGGCTGATCAGTGTATAGTTTTATGTTACTAAATAAATAATTTTTTAATTGTACCTTGTTTGTGTTAGTTGTTAGTGTAGTGGCTGCCAAACAAAAAGCCAATTTCTTGTCTATTTATTTAAGGGGTATCTCTAAATGCTATGTGAATAGACACATGAAAACATCAGGCTTTATGAGGATGAGAAGCAGTAGGTAGTACACCTATAGTAGGTACCTCTGTTGTGTTACATACAAGTAATGAGCTGCCCTGTTGTATTTCAGCAATGTCTGGATAATGAATGAAAGCTCCAAACAGACAAGTAGGCATTTCACAACTTCATTTTCTGTTTTTTTTTCTGCAAAATTGTTTTAGCACATGAGAATGTCTAAACATTTCTAATTGCAACAATTTTCTGGGCAAAGTGGTGCATTATCTGACATAAATTCAGGGGTGCCAATATTTTTGGCAATGACCGTATTTTTGTGTTGTATTCAGCTACATCCTGTTTTTATTGTCCAGTAGTAAGCTGACATTTAGTGCAGGTTTTGTGTCACTACAACTTTTTTACTACGTGAATTGGTTTCTTCCTCTGTCCTCCCCTCCTGTTTAGTGATAGTTAGTATAGTCCTAGCTAGACCCTCCATAGTTCTTCCATGTTCCCTCAGTCAGTGTTGATACTTCAGGGTTTAGGAAAGTCATTATCTTCCTACACTTCAAGATTGGAAAAACATCCTCTGTGCTGTAGGTAGCGGAATAAAATTGTGTTAGCTTCAACTTCTGTGCCTTATTGAAGAGTTAAACTGCCTGTATATGGTGCTAAGTCATCAGATGGCCATACTGTTCAGACAGACTGGATCTGAGTTAGTATGTCAGTGCATAAAGAGGCATTTTTATTCAGTTTGTAACCTCTTCCGATTGGTCATAGAGGAAAATGTTTTAGCACACTTTATGAAACCTTCTGTCCATATACAAACTTAGACCTGAAGCGTTTTTGGCAGGCTGGTAATGTAGCTTCTTTCTCAATGCAAAAACCAACTGTTCATAAACCTTATTGTTGACTGCTGACAGATGCTCCTGTAGACAGGGTGGTGTAGATATTTTGTTCAATTTATTAGGTCATGTATAATTGAGAAGGGTTGTTTCCATTTGAAGGTGTTCAGGCAACACGAATGCAGTAAGGATATGAGTGAAATGCCATTTGAGGTTTCTAGATTGCCCATCTATAGGGAGGTCCATTGACTGAGTCAAAGGATCCAAGGACTATTAATCTGAAGTGTACAGTATCTTTAAAATAAAAGTATGAAATTCATGTTGAAAAGAGCTGAACTACAGTGTAGACAAAAGTCATTAGTAAACTCAAGCAGTATCAAGAGATTCTGACACTGCGGGGGCCCTACAGTGCGACCCAAAAATACCTTTGGTGTTTCATGATGTGTCAGCCTTGAATTTCTTTATTTTAAATATGAGTTATTCACATTAATATCTGCTTTATGTAATTTTAGCACCCTCCTAGTCAGCTAGGGGGTGCTCTAGTTCTAATCATCAGTCAGGAGGGCTGAGTAACAGCCTCAATGTAATAGCCAGGTGGGTCAAATTGCGGGGCTGAAGCTGAGAGGCTATGCAGACCAGCTATCTGGGATTTCCCCCTGCTCTAGAACTTTAGAAAGAGATCTAGAAGCAGTGGGCGAGTTGAGGAGGGGCTGGTCTGTACTCTTAGAAGATCCTGGAGGCATGGCAAGGGGCCAGGACAGCCTTTAAGAGTAACTGAACCTGTTCAGAGGATGGGAGAGGGAGGAGAGGAGAGTTGGGGGAGCAGAAGAGTTGGAGGAGAATTTGGGTGGAAGATGAGGAAATGAGGCTAGAGAGCAGGAGGCTGGGAGGTGGCCAGATGGAGAGGGGTTGACCTCCAGGCAGGGACCTTGGAAGGAGAAAAGCTTGGGACTTCACCGGCTGCCTGAGAGAAGACCATCTGTTTGACAGGGAAGGAACAGCCCAGCTAAAAGGCCTGGTAGCAACCACCGACCACCAGCAACACAGGAGAAGGACTAAGTGAGTAAACCTGCACCCCCTGGGGCCAGATAGGGGAAGGAGCCCTCTGGTGGGAAATCAGATTAGGGACTACCCGGGACTGTCTTACTTTAAAGTGGCAGGCACTGGATCCCCTGCTCAGGGACTCATCCAGATCGTGTGGATTAGGAGAATCTAGGATCTGGAGTGGTACAACCAGAGATGCTAGATAGCTCTCCAAGAAGAGTATTTTTCGCTGTAGAAAACTTTTGTATATAGTTTCAGAAAGTTGTTCTCAGTTTTGCAGATCCATTGGTACACCCCTGACCCTATCCCAGTTCAAATCCCCTAATAAAACTTCAAAACAAAGCTTAAGGGCTGGTTACTGTCTCCTGGATGCAAATTGATGTGGAAATGCGTGTTGCCTGGCTGCGTAGTACTATATGGGGGACCCAAATCTCTAGTGACTCCTAAGGGGTAAGTGCTACATTATGTTTATGGATAGAGAATGCCTTTAGGGAAACCTGTATCAGGGAAGAATGGAATTTCCCTTCTGAAAACACTAGTTCTTTTGCTGTCATCCTAATTCTCTGACTTCAGTACTTTCTGAGTCCTTGCCCTATAACACACATTTAGATCAGCAGTTCAGACCTCACTCTGATGTTCCTGATTTGCATGCTTGCTGTGGGGTCAGTTTTATTGAAAGTATGAAGCCTGAGACAGCCAGACAATTAGCTTCTCCCAAAGTAGGTCACTGGTTGTAGTTTGCATACTTGCTCAATCAAGACTTCCTTTAAAATGAACAGAAGCCTATTTAATATTCAAGCATAAAACTAAATAAATTAATTGTGGGCTCGTTTTGGAATATTTCAGCAATAATATCACCCTGGCAGCTGGAGCTCCTTCTCACCACAGGATCCCATGTCTGCAGTTACAACAGGGGAGTTGTAAATCTTACTGCTGTATTCACCATAAAATAGAAAACGTGGATAGACATGGGAACTCACATTGACATTTTGCTGCTTATGACAAGCCTTGGTTCACACCGAATGCCACTTTGAAATCGCACTACTTCACTTGAAGTAGCTCAATTTCAAAGCTGCAGATCACTGCACCTCCAATTTCACTGTGGCTTGCAACTTCATTTAACAGAAGTCAATGCAAGTCGCAATGAAATCGGAAAAAAGTAGTCCAGGAACTATTTTTGAAATTGCCCTACTTCAGATTGCACTGATTAAGACACCATAGAAATACATTAGATGTGACTTCAGGTGCGGCATGCGATTTACAAATTGCACCTGAAGTCACATCTAATGTAAGTAAGCAACCAATGGGTGATTCAGCCAACCATTCAAAGTTGAGATATCAGGTTTGGTGGGAATGCCCCTTTTTTCACCTGGTAATACTATGAACAACACAATTCCTGTCTTAGGCTGGCTGAGCTCACCTCTTTTTTGTATCTACGGAGGGATCCATGGTTGCCATCCAAGTTGGACTTCAAACATGTCTTCCTTTCTTCCAATCCATTACATGGAGTTAGTAGTTTACAGAAGAAAGATAACATTGTTGGTGTTTTCAGTATAGCTCACAAGTGACAAGGACACAGCATTTCTGGAAAGATCAAAGGTTAAGGTAGGGACTTTAGATTGTAGGGTTAGGGACTGATGTGAATTTATGATACATATGTAAAGTGCTGCGTAAATTGATGGCACCATATAAGTACCTGTAATAATAATAATAATAATTTCTGTACATTCATAGAAATGTTCTTAGTCATAAAATGAATGCAGTCATCATGTCTAACAACTGGTAAGCTGAAATATATATTTTGTTTTGTTTTTTAGATATCTTTATTTCTGATCACGATCTCAGGTGTCTGTATGTGTACTGTGTACCTCGGATGATGTGCATTTAGGTAACACACCTTGGCACTAAAACAGGCATGGCTGAAGATTTTGTTTTGACAGGTTACTTTAATTGCATATAAAATTATAGTCTCATTACATCATGGTGAGACACGCCTTGTTTTTTTATCAGTAAAATATCACAGTAACATGTTGCTTAATGTAGTTAAGGCTTATTTTAAACAGTGTAAGGCATCATCTGTCTTAAAAAAACATTAAGCGGATATATAAAACATCCCTCAGTTCATTTACATATTTTATATAAAGCAATTAAAGTGTTACTACACCCAGGACCCTGAATTCACTATATCTGGTCTCCCACAGTACACACAACATGGAAATGTAATTATTTTAATAAATATAAACTGCTAAATATCTTTTCTCATCATCAGTATATAGCAGTCTTGTGACTTTTATCAGTGTCCAGCAGAGCACTGGTTAATCTTGTAGGAAGAGTTTTTGTTCTCCCCTATGAAACTGCATAACCCCTGACCCTCTCTCAGGATAGTGCTGATTGGTCCTGTGCTGATCACATGCACTCTCCCAAGAAAAAAAACAAACTCTAATAATACACACCAAACTGAGCATGTGCAACTTGCCCCCAAGGCTCTGTACTATCAGCAGATGGATTGAGGACAGTAGAAGAAGGAGAGGATCAGAGAAAAGAGGATGTAACAGCCTTTTTACACAATGCGGAGGATTAACCATTTAGAATCCACAATGAGTATAACAAGCATGCTTTACTGCATATACAGACTGATTTTACTGTTGTGGGTTTAATAACACTTTAAATTATGTTTAAGTTCAGCCAAGATCATTTACAGCAGGGCTGGACAATTCCTGATTAGCAAGTCTTAATTAAAAGCCAGTCCTTTATTTTGCTGGAATGCTCCAGTACTTGTACTTGACTTCGGGTTTGCATGCCGGGAAAAACTCACCTTGTACCAAAAAACAAGGGAAAAGTAAGTACCAATCAAATATAATTACTGGTTAATTCAGGGCTGGTAATTCTCTCTCTGTCTTATTCAAACAGATGCAGAATATGTGGCTGCCCGAATACCTAAACAACGAATGCATCTGATTGGATGCAGTCGCTGTTTGGACAAGTTTCCACCAGGCTCCTTCCAGCTTAGGGCTAACACTTCAACATTGTTTTAAGTGATTGCTCTCTATGTCCCTGCTGCATTTATTTCCTGGCCGTTGACATACAAGGACTTCCAACATTACATTCAAGGTTCACAGACATATAATCTCAGGAGCCCCTCTCAGCTTGCTTATCAATTTTAGTCTTAGTTTATTATTTCAGTCCAAGCTCGGATTATAAAATCTACTTCAGTCAGTATGTACAGTACAGTCTCTGACAAGCTCTTTTAGTGTGTCCACAATCCCTGAACAGCTCCTGTAGTGTGTTTGCAATCCCTGACAACCTACTATAGTGTGTCCCCAGTGGTCCCTGACCATCTCCTCTAGCATGCTTATAGTACCTGACTAGCTCCTGCGGTGTCCATGACAAGCTCCTCTAGCATGTCCACAGTCCATGACCAGCTCCTCTAGCATGCCCATAACCCCTGACCAACTCTTGCAGTGTCCCTGACCAGCTCCTCTAGCATGCCCACAGTTCCTGACCAGTTCCTCTAGCATGTCCACAGTCCCTGACTAGCTCCTCTAGAGTGTCCAAAGTCCCTAACTATCTTCTGTAGCATGTCTATCAGTTATCTGTCTTTTAGTGATCTATAACACGTGAGCCAAAAAGTGGCCTTAGGCGTGCAATAGTAGCATCTGCTCCATGAATGGATAAGGAGGGAGAAGGTACTGTTCTTGGATGGGCTTACTTGAGCTGAAGGAACTCGAGCTCAGGTTGGTTGTCACCACTAAGGCTGGGGTTTCTAGTAGGCCAAAAAGAAGACAAAAAATGGGGAAGAGTTTGAAGAATTACAGAAAATATTGTCTCCCTTTTAATGCCATAAAACTGTACCATGTAGCAAAGGTGGGTATATCACAAGAGCGTGAAAGGTCAGGGTAGTTGACTTCAGACAGAGTTGCATCGCAGGTAACATTTTGAGGAATGGCAGTGGAAGAACAAAAGTTGTAACCAGAACAGCAGCCTGGATTCTCAAAACAGACACTAAAGTTTTTCAAACCCAGCAAGGTGCTCTGATGTTTTCTAATTCAGTAATTTGCTAGGCCTGTATGTGGGTTGGTGCAGCATGGTGAGGCGGCAGTAACCACACAGAGTCCAGATACAATAAACAGGATTTGTATTGAAGACAAAGTTCAGTGATACAACAGCCTAGTGGGAAGGCACCCGACTGGGAACACTCACAGGTTTCAACAGCAATGTGGAGTGGAGCAGGTCTCAGATGTTCCATCAGGGTCTGTCTCCGAAGGTGGAATGCCGCTTGGCTGGTCTATGCCCAAATGGGAGGATTCCAGAAAGGATGGTTTGTCCCTAACCTGTCCCTACTTGTCCGGAACTTTTCCCTGCCACACTATTCACTTTCCCTGTCAAAGGGGAGAACTGACCACTCGCAAATATGCATGCCAAACCTGGTAGCCAGGGTAGCCTCTGCCTGACCCAAAATGGCCACCAGAGTCATAGAGGAACCATAGAGGAACAGGTTCCTCCTAACTTCCACTCCTCCTGCAATGCTGCTGTGGTTGAGCGCCACCTGCAATGAAGAAAGGAGACTGCACCTTTCTACATATAGACTGCGTTCCATTATTATGTGGAGCATGTTATAGGTGGCAACACAAAAATGAATTTTACCAGCATTTCCCCATATGCTCAGATAGTATAGCATAAATTAAAGGCAGTTACTAAGCAACATGACAGTGTGTGTTGCCTTTTATTTGTGACCCTGCACTCTATTGTTCTAGAATTAGTGTTAGGAAATCACCTGTGGTGAGTTGTTGGAGAGCCCATTTGGCAAACTGCTCCCCATCTATAATGAGGTTGACCATCAGACACTTGGCTAGTGGTGAGCACAGTTCCCTTCCTTCTGATGTTCCTCCTGTCTTCCTGGGTCCTGCTGTCAATCTGTTTCTGCTTTTTGTGCTTGCTCCACTGCTTGATTGTGAGATTACCTGCTCTAATAATCTTTTGAGGTGAGATGTGCATATACATTGCAGCAGTGATCATCTGGGCTCAACAAATACAGACTCTTCCAATAGGATCGCTGTTCCACTGTATTGTATAATATTAATCTGATAATTTCTCTGAATAAAGCTTTGCTCTCAGCGTTGCTGCTTGTGTTAGGAAATTACGATGTTGTATGGCTGAATGTTGAATATCAAAGTGACTGTAAACTCTCACCTTATGAAACAACCCATTTCGTTTAAAATAGAAATGAAAGTCAAAATATTTGTGTATAGATATAAAATACATTATAAATACCTTTTCCCTTTTTTATAAATGACCAGATTGCTTGAGGAGAAAGAACAGCACACCCTGATCTTTCCAGTGAATTGCAGTACAGGCAGGGAGGGGCATTGGGGTCATGTCAGGACAAGTCTGATCATTGGAGGAGAGCAGCACAGCAAGAGAACTGACCATGCTGTGCTCTCCTGCCTAATTTTGTAAGTTTTTAATAGGAAAGCAGAGGGAATGGTCAGGAACACCAGGGAATTCTCACAGAGGAAGCAATACAAAGAGAACAGGATACTGTTCATACAAGTACATGGTACGGGTACAGCAGGCACATATCAGAAATATAAAAATTTTGGGTTTACATATTCTTTAAGCTTCTTTACTGTTGCCTGTTATACAGTATGATACCCTATGGCTTGGAATTTCACAGCATATCCAAAGAGCTTGAAAGCATTCATTTTACTGTAGGCCTTGGAGCAGTCTGCACAAGGCAGACATTGTGCATTGTGCCTATGCCTCTACTGGCATTTTGGCTGTGCAGCAAAGTACTGAAGCCACAGGCTGTGCTACTTAGCAGGAGACTCAAGCTAAAGCAAATATACAAGCTTTTCAAAGAAAAATGAATCAGTCATTGCTCAGTGTTGAAATGATATCATAATGGTTTTAGTGTGAGCTTTAGTAAATGTAAGCTTGCCAAAATCCATCTATCTTACGTGTGTTTTTTGTATGGTTCAAGTGTTGGCATTGTTTCCTAATTGCACTTGGAAATATTAAAGTAAAATACATGAAGAGGTTGAAAGGTTGGCTCTTCTTTCTTCCTTAACAAGTCTTAGCTCAGCAGTATATTTTCCTCTGTTTGTCCTTCACTTCCTTGCTAATTCATTTAAAGATATACTTAAATGAGTTTTAATAAGAACTTATACTCTAGGACTCTAAAATTACTAGTGATATGTATCACATCTGTTCTGTTTCCCCCAATTCTAAGCATTTGTAAGTGTGATCTCTATAGCTGATCCAGATAAGCAATAACTTACAATGTCAGGAACTTCAGGCAGACTGACATTAGATCGCAGGATATATAATGTTTACAAGAAAGTGCTGTGTATTAGTTTTGACACAGTAGCTGTGGTTACCAAGGAAGTGCAAGGTCTTTCCAGATATATATATATGCCTGATGGATATCATCTAGAGTCTAGATTCTAGACAGTCCCCTGATGACATCATCTATGATGAGACGCATAGATCAGAGCTACAGTGTGATGTCATCACACACAATTACAGGCGGTTCGCCAGCTTGGATTCTTCTGCCTGGTTGGAGTATATTGAGCGGTACTGAGGATTTTAATTTGTGAGTGCGCACTTATTTCTCTCAATAGAGTGGATTGCTTTTAACATGCTACCCCAGCCTTTCTCAACTTTTTTCAACGCAGAGGAACCCTTGACATAACTTTCTGGTCTCAGGGAACCCCTGCTAAAAATGACTATATTTACAATTCATGATACATTAGTGAGATAGTCAGAGGTAAGAATGCTCCTTACACTTGTGGTCTTTGGAAAGAATTACCTCCTTACAGATTGCTAAAAAGATCAATGGTGTCAGTGGGAACTTACCCAAGAGGCAAAAAATTGCTCATTGCTCAAGGAACCCCTGGCAACTTCTGGAGGAACCCTGGTTGAGAAATCCTGGGCTACACTATGGGAGGTGTTTTTTACTTTTATTTCTGGTGTTCTCTGAGCACATTTTACCTGTGAATAGGCTCAGAAAACATTTTGGATTGAAGGCATTTTCCTTATAAGCACATTTGACCATTTTATGTATGATGGTCATTAAGATCTGGTAGGAGGCTTGATGGTGTGCTGAGCACAGTGTTAAAGGCATTCGAGACTCACCAGTTGACAGTGCGGAGTTTCTAAGATCACCTTGGGTGTGCTCACTTGAATTAACTATTTTTTGAC